TCAGGGGCGCAGAGGGACGGTTGGAGATGCGCGAGGCGTCTCTCGCTTAGCTGTGCGCTCTTGGCAAGCCGCGCAATCTCTCTGAGCCTCAGTTTCCTCCTCCGTCATGAAAATGGGGGTACTGAATGATAACCCCTACCTCCTGTAGACTTGGGAGGAGCGAAAGGGTTCAGATTGGCAGTTGCACGAACTTCCCAGGACTGGGGCAGAGTGAGAAGTGGCTAAAAAAAAAAAATATATATATATATATATACACACACACACACACACACACATTTACATATATACATATATATTTGTATTTCTCAGAGCTTAGCACAATGCCTGGAACATATGTGACCATCAATAGATAGCTTGTGAGCTAGTGAAGGAGAGGTGGAGGCCTCGCTGCAATGATAAGTGGAGAGAGAATGGGGACTGGTTTGTCCTATTTGTATTTGTGAATGTCATGTGGTCTCATTGGGATTACCTTTACCGCACAGACAAAGACTTTTTAAAAGATTCATTAATCTAAAATCATTTCTTAACATTACTGCTTTTGTGAATTGGAAAATGCATAACAATAAAGATTCCACTTCTCGTTTGTATTTATTAGGAAATAAACCTAGGCCATCAAGAGCACAAAGACGCAGTATTAAATATTTACGTAGAGTAGAACATATAAAATGCAACGAGAAATGATGTTATCACTGCCCACTTGCAAATCTATTGCTTGATGATCCCTGGAGCTGAAAAATTATACTTTGTTTTTCTCTATAATATTAATTTAAGTGTATCCAAGAGCTAATTTAGCCTGGTAATAATAAAATTTTATTTGAAAAATAGGCCACTTATTTTTAAAATTCTTTATATTTGGAAATAATTTTAGACTTACAGAAGAGTTGTAAAGATAGTACAGAGAATTTCTTCATGGCCCTCATCCAGCTTTCTCTCAAGTGAACATCTTTCGTAACCATGGTATTAATGATTAAACTATGAAATTAATGTTGCTACGTTACTGTTCACTAGATTACAGGCTTCGTTCAGATTTCAGCATTTTTCCCACTGAAGTCTGTTCCAGGATCCAGCCCAGGGCACCACATAGAGTTTAGTTGTCATGTCTCTTCAGTCTCCTTCCGCCTGAAAGTTTCTCAACTGTTTCTCACGTGACCTTGACACTTTTGAAAAGTATTGGTCAAATATTTTTCATGTCGTCTCCATTTGAGTTTACTCATGACTAGGCTGGGGTTATGGATTTTGGGAAAGTACTGTATACCACACAGATAAAGTGCCCTTCTCCTCAAATCGTTTCAGGGGTTCCTGATCAGCATGTCTTATTACTGGTGATGCTAACCGGATCACTTGGTTAAGGTGGAGCAACTGTCAAATTTCCCTACTATAAAAATCACTATGATATGTTTTCATCTATTAAGTCATCAGAGGTCAAAAAGTTGGATGACTCAGGGTGTTGGAAAGTCATTGTCTTATGTAACTGGTGGGAGTGTATATCTGGACAACTTCTAAGAAGGGCAGTTTAGCAATATCTTTCTGTTTTACAAATGCATTCACCCTTTGACCTAGCAATTCCATTTTTAAGAATTTACACTCTAAACAGGTTTGCCAACATTCAGTATCATGTGCTATAAGGTTATTTATAACAGCAAAAATTAGAAACTACTCAGATGTTCATCAATGTGGAACTAATTCAATACACAAATATTTATAATATTTTCAGCTTTCAAAAGAATTTGGAAGTTCTTTGTGTGTGTGTGTGTGTGTGTGTGTGT